ACTTATACTTATTATCTTGTAAACAATTGGCAAATCAAATAAATAAAATAAATAAATATAACAATTGTGCCCCACAAGCAATTTATCTGAATGGAGCAGCCTACAAATAAGCAAAGTGGAGCACCATATGAATGAGCACAACATTGTTGGTTTTGTTTGGAACTCTGACCATAGCGGTATTTGTTTGGGGCTTGAAGGTGTGTGTGTGTGTGTGTGTGTGTGTGTGTGTGCTATGCATACTAACTTATTTCTGCATCTCGTGTCAGTGTGTAATATTGGTGTTCTGTCAAGTAATCCATACGAGATTGGCTTAATGATGGTGGAGATGGTCTCTGCTCCAGTGGTTTGAGTCCTAACACGTTTGGTGGGGAGAGCTCTTGTCATTCATCTCAGTTTCTGTCCACCTGACAGCTCAAAAGCATATTCTATGCAAGTAGGTAAATAGGTACCATTTTGATAGGCAAATGAGTTGGTGCTCTGTGCAGGCAGTCAGACTCCTGCCAGCTCTGAATGTTCCTGGTTGTAGCGCCCAAGGTGGCTCCGGGGAGGGGACTTGGATGATGCTACAGGAAAAGCCAGTCATCTTTCTGGTGTGAAGCCAGCTCGCACTCTTATGGCCCACCTTGGGAAGCGTGCAACATTTCCTACAACAAAGCTTTCAAGATAAGATGCCAATAGCAAATGTTAACTTTCTGACATCTTGTTACTGTAGCCTGTCTCCCATTTTTTTTCTCTTTTGTTTGAAGGAGAACAGAATTCCAATGGCTTCCAAAAATATGGTTAAAAAATAGGATCCCAATAAAACCGTTTTAGAACTGCATATGCTGTAAATTAGGATTGAGTTGTTCACAAGCCATAAATATCTCTGAAGCCACCATTTCCCATTTTTTATGGACTCTGCTATTGAAAACAGATGACAGACTTTCATAGCTGAAACTGCTACTATTCTTTCGCTTTTTATATTTGTTTTGCTTTCTTAAGTTTTACACACAACCTTTTTAATGTAACTCTCAACCATCAAAATGTGCTTTTCCTGGCTATAAATTATCACATTGAGCATTGCTACCTAAAATTAATTTCATTCTTCTTTCCTATTTGCAAGTGACAATTATCTGAGCATGCTATTTTCTGGCTATTTTAAACTTATTTGTCACTGTTCTACTAAACTGCTATAGATATTTGAAAATAATAAACTATTTTGGCTTTAGTGCAAATGCCATACAGTCTCTTGACAACATGGTATAATTTATATACATAGTTGTTCCACATTCATTAGTATGAGGACATCTTATGTGCCATTTTATACATCCTAAGATAATAATTATAATTAAAGATAGTTTGGAATTTTGGTTAAATAGAAGTCTTCGCTACTGTAACCATGTTGGTAGCAAGCATAATAATATTTCCACAGTAAGTTTGCTATTTTATATTTAATAAGCGCAATATTTAATCATGGGCCTTAGAATTATGGAAACCTGGGATAAACATTTTATTCATTTACTGATAACCTTTTCCATCTCTTTATTGTAAAATGAGCTGGATGCAAAACTTGGCAAACCTCAAGTCCCTTTGCTCTCAAGTCCCTTTCAATATCTATTGTAACCCCAGCTCAGCATGAGGGATGTTTCTGCATCTCTGTCTCTTTTGTTTCATACCATTAGTTTTGTGAGCAAAGATTTTGTCAGCAAAGGGCTGTGTACTACTTCACAGTTGAAAAGCAGAATGCATTTGAAAATTTTAAATATTCAGATTACTTCCAATTAATTATTTTTGTCCACATAACAATCAAAGTATAAATCCCAGGCCATTATTATCCCCATATTGCTGATGGCATGCTTAAGGCCATCTGGAGACTTCATGATAGATTTCCATTGAGGATGGCTTGGCACAGTACAAGCAGGGGTGGGATGCTACCAGTTCTGCCTGGTTCTATAGAACCGGTAGCTCTGAAGAGCAGCAGACACTGAACCGGTTCTGTGTTTGCTGTTGTTTGGCCCACCCACCCGCCTGGGCTCTTACCTGTCCTTTATTTCCTGCTTTTTCAACCTCAGCTGCTTTGTGCTGAGGTAGTCACCAAACAGGTAGTAGTCACCGAACTGATAATAACACCGGTTGAATCCCACCCCTGAGTACAAGTACTGTAACAGGTTAAAGATGCCCCAGATTGAAGGCTGTGTTAAGAATATCATAATCACCTTGATTATAAAAAGCCCATAGTGTTTGAATGTGCTTATTAGATTATCATTAAGAAGCATGTTTTGCTGACTTGGGGAACTTTTGGTGATGTTTTTTCTCTTTATAAACATTTTGGTACAAAGCCATGAACAGGCTTACTAGCTTTAATTGCTGTTTAAGAGCACCATCCTTTTCTTCCCAGAAGAACCTTTGAAAAAGCGTTTAAAACAACAGAAATATTACAGATTGAAGCTACACAAGAAAGAGGATAATTGTAATGTAGACTGGCTTTGATTAAAAGCTTTTGAGTAATTTCCCTCCTCCCCAAATTTGAATTGGATAAAGTTTTATTGCTTTGATTACATTGTGGAACATGATTTGTTCCTTTTTCAGTGTATGTACAGAAGCTAGTATTTGTATTCTCTAATTATTTTCAATATGTTTCCAGGGAACATGAGGACATTATTCTGGAATTTCTAGAATAATACTGCCTTTTTTTAATCACCTGAAACCAGTCCTCCTTTTGTGATCAGAGTATCCTCTGCCCTTTGGATTGATGTAAAGTTCTGTAACCCTGGGGAAAGAATGGTGCTTTGATAAATATGCTTGCTTCATTCTGATTTATCACATTATTTTTGTCTTCCCTGTCCAATCTGCACCTCTAATCTCGCCTGCTTCCACTTATAATACCCCTTCACATTCCCTTCCCTCACATTTATTTACAGCTGCGTTCATCAAGGACGGCCTGAGCCTTTGGACCTCCACCTGGGCATGTTCCTTCCCACGTTACTAACCCAGGCAACCCAAGAACAGCAGGATCGCTTCTTCATGCCTGCTTGGAACTTGGAGATCATTGGCACATATGCCCAGACAGAGATGGGACATGGTACAGTACTTCCAAGTCTTATTTCACAGGGTAGACTAGCTTTTACAAAAAGTACTGGCTTTGTTTCATGATAGCCTAGGTCCTTTTGGCTGTTCAGTTGGCAGCAACATGCTTCTCTAAGAAAAAGAAGCTATTCAGATGGACATAGAGGCATAGATTTCTGATTATACAAAGACAGCTTGTTTGTTTTTTAAAATGGCATTGAGTCAAAGCACATTTTTCCTTGATTTCTGAATGCCTTATGATTGGCATACATAAAGCAATATTCTAATTACACAAAAATGTTTTTTGCACTTTAGAAAGTAAACTTGAAGAATAAAGATTAGCAAGAGTTATATAACTTCTGTCAAGTTAAAGTACCTTTTAAAAACTATTTCAGCTAAGTATCTTTCCTATTGGCTCTGATTAATTCAATCATTAATTTATATACACTTATAAATTTTCTGGGAAACGTCTTGGCTTCTCAAACAGTCATTTCTATTACCTTTAAATAAAACAATGCCTTTTTCAGGGCCACTTGGAATGATTTCTATTCTGTAGATTTTCCTGCACCTTCTGATATGCCTCTGAAGTAAAGTGTTCTGTCAATTTTATGAAAGGGAAAAATTGAAGAGCAATGTGATAGACATCCAATGTTCATGTCTAAATCTGACTATTACCATAAAACCATACTTGTGCATTCAAGACAGCATATATATTTAGAAGTTATGCTACAATCAAGAGAAGGAAGCCCTGTGAGCTTTCTACCTTGCTCCAGATCTGATTCATGTTCTGAAGAAAGGACAGAACAGGACACATGTCTTTCGCTCCAAAAATCAGAAGTGCTATCACATTCTCTAAATCTATAAGATCAATCTACCTATATGAATGCAAGATGTTTTTAAAAGAAAAAAAGAAACTTCAACTTTACAGTGAAATATTACTTTTATTTTATATATATATATCTTATATCTGTAGTTTTTTTTTAAAAAAAGTCCCTCAGCATATTTGAATGTCGCTGCAAGTCAATACATCACCTGAGTTGGATTTTACCGTTCACTTTGAAAATTCTGGATGTTGAACTGCAACTGGGATATTGACAGTGGCTGCAGGAGGAAGAATGTGAATATGAAGATCTGGGATTTAAAAAACATCACAGAAGCAAATGTTGAAAATTTTTGTGCAGGACAATATCTGGATTTAGAGAAAAAGCCGTTTTTATCCTAAACCTTCTTTGGAAAGGAATTATCATGGGACTCTTTCATTTGCCTTATCAGATACCTAAATATGTATTTGCACATGGTGATAAATCTGTAAGACAAAGGAGCTGCATAATTGTACAGCAATTTGATAGCACTCTTACATTAATAGGGCAATTAATGGAGTGACATGCATCCACAGTTTCATGCATGCCTTTCTTGCAATGTGTTTGCTATTAACCGTTATGTAAATGTACATTTTCAGGCAGTTTTCTTATTTGCACTGCTTGGCTTTGCATTGCTAATGAAGATTGTTGAAATAAATCTAATTGTGTATACTTGTGCTGAACTGTGCAATTTTGAAATAAGATTTGCTACCTGCCTACAGGAACTCATCTCCGAGGACTGGAAACCACAGCCACCTATGATCCTGCTACCCAGGAATTCATCCTTAATAGCCCAACCGTGACTTCTATTAAATGGTGGCCAGGTGGATGTAAGTGTATTATTACACAATTAAAGCTAAAGGAAGAGCTGTTTTTTTTTCCCTTCAAGCTTTTAAAGTGTGAAATCAATTAACTATTGATACATTTTGAAACATAACTTTAGTTGTATAATATGTTTGATTATTCTGCACTGTAGAAAGTATGAGTAAAAAAACCTCTGGTTTCTGTTTCAGGGCTAAGCCTTAGACTCAACATATTAAAATTAACATTAGTTTTATTAGCCTAATATAATGTAGACATCATACAGAATTAAATATTTCTGTTTCACTAATTCTACACATTCGTCATTTAATAATTCTGCATATTATTTATTCCTTCTATTTAATTTTAGTTTGGGAGTAAAAGGAAGTGTTTTACATCATAAAATCTACAACAGCCTGTTGTCTGTATTATTATTTTTGTGGTCAACATATACATAGAATGCTTCTTGGACTGTCAAATAAACTTCCACTTACTAAGTTGTATTTCCCCTCCCCCCCTCTTTCTTGCAGTGGGCAAGACATCAAACTATGCCATTGTTTTGGCTCAGCTTTATACTCAAAACAAATGTCATGGGTTACATGCTTTCATTGTGCCTCTACGTCAGTTGGGAACCCATGAACCGCTGCCAGGTATTAAGTCCATCACTATTGTGTTACTATTCTTTCTCAACTAGGGTTGTGTGAGAAACTGCTAGGGATTCCTTGAGAGGTTGCGATTTAAAATCAACAATGTTTTTAACTTTGTGCTTTCAGTTTTGACAATTTTTACACATCATGATTCAGCTACTGGCCTGCTTTGTCGTTGTAACCATTGCAGATTGTGTAGGTTAGAGGTGAATAGTATTTTGAAACTTTAATGGCTTTTGCCATTTTTAGGCAGAGATTCCCTGACATCTGAAAATTATTTCAAGGGTTTTTCCTGGGTAAAAAAGGTAGAGAAAGTCTGCTCAAGTGAATATCTAGCATATTTATGTTGCCATATTAGCTGCCATATAAATGAATCAGAAAGTCCATATTGGAACACTATGTGATATCCAACATGAAACATTTGAAATCTTCAAGGGCTACATTGTATTGGGAAAAACTGAATTCAAGGAAGTACTTGCAGTCCTCAAGTAGGTGAGATAAAGGAAGCAATGTTCATAAGAAAGCAAAATATACATAGTTTTTCAGTCCCACATTGCAGCATATCAAGTAGAATATAGAAAATATAGTACAATGAGTACACATTAAAATGATTTTAAAGCCTTGACTATTTTAAAAAAATTTAAATGGGGGAAATGTTGCTGAACAGAATCCATTTTTACAAAAATAATTCTTTATCCATTAATTAGATTTAATTTGTCATAATTCAAGTAAGGTTCAACTAATATTAAAATTCCCTAAACTGTGTGTATTAGCTCATGCTGCAATAATAAAGTTGTAGCTCCTTTTGCATTTGATGTCAAGAACTTTGAATCTCAGTGCATTAGGTAGAGTTAGATAAGAACACACAGCTGACTCATCTGGATAGTATGGAAGTCTTCCTCTACATTGATGAATGGACAGAGTTTGAACACTCACTCCTAACTGAAAATCACAGCCAAAACAACTTATTTTAAAAATGCCAGAGTAGAAAAAAATTATTAAAATCTGCTATCCAATCTTAAAATTTGTGAATTTAATATCACTTTGTTTTCAAGATGGGAACAAAATAACACCAATGTTTTAGGGGGAAAAGAAAAGAAAGCTATATCTATCCATCACTATAAATGAATTGAACATTTTTGCAATTGTGGCCTTCAAGTCTTATTTTCAGGACACAGTTTTGGAATTAGCATCATTGATGCTTCCGCCTTCAGCACTTTGAACTAATTTACGTTGGGAAAAAGGATACTTTATGAACATTCCCCACCTTCCCCTTCCCCACAAAAAATTCAATTTTGTATTAAGAAATAATAGGTAAATTTCTTTGGCTTATTCTGTTTGCAGGCATCACCATTGGTGACATTGGCCCAAAATTTGGCTATGATGAAATGGATAATGGCTACTTAAAAATGGACAACTTCCGTATCCCCCGGGAAAATATGCTAATGAAACACGCCAAGGTAAACTAGGCCTTGTTTTGTTTTTGCTATTTATCTGCACCAGATGTTCAGACAGCTTGAAAGAGAAACTACCCAAAGTCAAGGCTTCATATTATCAGGAGGCAATTGATCATCTAATAGTCAAAAGCAATCCCCAAGTTTGTGTTAAAGAAAGGGCCATCAGAGGTAAAATTCAGCTGTATCTCATTTGTCTGGGAGTTCTGTTTGCTAGGTTTCTCTCATTAACAGCTCTTGAACTCAGCTTCCTGGAAGTGTGTTCAAGAATGTGTTTGTTGCAGTTTATGATAACAGAGGAGGAAGAGTCCCTGTCAAATGAAGGCAGTAAATGGGAAGGCATGATTACTATTTATGTCAAATAGAGTCTAGCTTCCTCCCCACCTTCTACATAGTGAATGGTAATAACATGTTAACGATCTGGTCTTCCTTTTCATAAATTTGCTAGTCGTCTATATTATTTAACCACCTTGATGGTATCTATTAATTTGTTGTCAATGTACATGAAACTGCTTAGCTAATATGACCTAGTTAGCATGAGAATGATGTTATTGGCTTCACAACATGTGCTAAGCAAGAGAATTAGTTTTAAATTATTTACCTGTTACTTCATGTCAGTGATGTCCAAAACATTCATTTATAACACCAATGAGTAGAACTACTTCTAAAATGACAAATACTTTTGAATAGGGACCTAACAAGAAATGTTTAGTGGATTCAGTGACATAGTACAATGTTGATTTTTATAGTCTTACAAACCATTACTTGGTGGACACCTTCACTATTTTATTTTGCTAGGTTGAACCAGATGGCACATATGTGAAGCCTCTCAATGCCAAGCTGACTTATGGGACCATGGTATTCATCCGTTCATTGATTGTTGGAGATTCTGGTCGCAGTTTAGCCAGAGCTTGTACAATTGCCATCCGCTATAGTGCTGTGAGACATCAGTCTGAGTTAAAGCCTGGGTAAGAAGCTTGTATTAACATCCCTAAGGTCAGTTTTCGTAATGCCATAAAAATTGGCAAATCTCTCTGCCATCTTGTCTGTAACACTTTTGTCCATGAAAAGATATGTGTGTTATTTAAAAAACAAACAAGTTTGACTTTCAAAACAAGTTTTCTTGGGAAGTGCAGTTAACAAGAACAGTGTAGAAAAGCCCAGCAGTGGCCTTGGAGAAGATGTGCAAGAGCTCAAGTAAGCACAAGAGACAGTCTTGCCTTAGCTCTCTTTGGTATAACAGGAAGGAGGGAGAAAACCCTGTCAGATCTCCAAGGATCTACTATCGTAAGTTATAGTATATCTTCTGGGTCTGTTTCTTGACCCAACTTACCTCAAACATCTAACAAGCAGAATTTGCTGGCAAATTTTAACATTCACTGTGGATTTTGTGAGTCAGAGAAATAGTTACTTTGTAAAAAGAAAATACAAGCCCCCTCTAACACACACATCCCTTTTTTTTTTTTTTGTCATTTTGGCTACACACAGTTGAATCAGAGTTGTTGTCAGGACTAGCCCTATATTGGGAATCATTATTACTGGGGATCTGCCAATTTGTGATGATACAGAAGGGACCAGGACATGAGAAACAGTTGCACGGCAACCACAGTATAAGCTACAATGAGTCAGGAAAAAGATAGAATTATCCTAGAAATGCAGCCATTTGTTCACAATTGTCATTAAATTAATGTCCTAAACTATTTCACTATTTGCGTTTTTTCCCCTTCCCTCCACCTTTTGGACTTCTCTCCTGTCTTTTGCTAGTTACTTAACCTCTTTCGTATTTTGAAAAAATAAGAAATAGTTTTATTTGCCACATATTGGACCAAGCCAAGACCACTTTTACAAGTAAATATATTTGTACTTTAAATGTATATGTCATCAGAGTATACCCTTAGGACAGTGTAAGTCTTTGGTTTTCTCCATTTCTAAGGAATTAAATCATAGCATTATGGTGGTTTAATTCTCTCTTTTATTTGCTTGGTTACAGGGGACCAGAACCTCAGATTTTGGATTATCAGACTCAGCAGTACAAACTCTTTCCTCTCCTAGCAACAGCATATGCTTTCCACTTTGTGGGTGCATATATGAAAGATACATATCATCGCATCACTGGGAACATCCAAGATGGAGATTTGAGTGAACTGCCAGAGGTGGGGCTCATGACCTTACAGAACATTGAATTTTGCCATTGACAACTACACGGTTTAGTTTGTTTTTTCAAAATAATGGAATAAAAAAAATTCCTGGGAAGGAACAGAATCAGGAAAAAAATATATTGAGCGACTATATATATCACAGATAAATTCTTAGGCGTGATTGATACTCTCTCAGTTTAAATCCCTTTGTCTTCGTCACCTAAATTGAATTCAAGATGGCACCAACAGCAGCCTCAGCGAAATGCTGATAGTTTTTATGTTTTTTTATGATTTATATTGTTTACTGAGTGTCCTAGTATGATTTATGTTGATTGCTTATTTAGTATCCATGACTATCACTAAGTGTTATATCTAATGTTTTATGATGGATGTATTTTTTAACAATGACTGTAATAATGATCTATCACTATTGTTGTAAGTACACTGAGAGTTTATGCACTGGAGACAAATTCCTTGTGTGTCCAAACACATTTGGCCAATAAATAATTCTAATTCTATTTGGAACACTTTTGTGGAATGTTCTTGTAATGAGAGTGGATGAGAGGAATAAGCTCATCACTGGCATGAGGGCCACAAGGTGATTTTTGTAACCTCACTGTTTAGACCAACAAATCAAATCCTTAAAAATGATTTGAGTTCCACTTCTGGTATGTCAGTCGTTTAAATTATTATTATTATTTACAAAAGCCTGATAATGAAACTTAAATTCTGATTGGACTTATTCCTGAAAATTTATCCTGAAAATTTTTGTAAGCCTTTGTCCTTCATGTGTGTTACATGTAAATATGTACATACAAAGCTCAGAATCATGTAGTCTGAGTTTGGCAGCTATAGAAATGATTTAATAAATGTGACACTGGTGTAAATTGAAAAGTGGACATGACAGATGGAATTCTTATGATTTGCTTTGCTGGTTCAAAGTTTGAAAAAAATCTAGATAGAACAGTATGTTTTATGTCTTGGCAGAATGTGCCCTCTTCTTGGAGCTTTAACATCTTTAGGAAGAATTTTTATCTTGGAGATAATCTGGATTACCATTCTTAATCTCATCTCTCTTCCACCCCACACCAAAAATTTGGGAAGATAGAATTTAGTGGCAGGACAAATATGGAAGAAATAATTATTTTGTTCTTAATTACTTTCTTTCTCAGTTGCACGCACTGTCTGCAGGGCTCAAGGCTTTTAGTACCTGGACTGCCAACGCTGGCATTGAGGAATGTCGGATGGCATGTGGGGGACATGGCTACTCCCACTGCAGTGGTTTGCCTGATATTTACGTCAACTTCACTCCTTCTTGCACTTATGAAGGAGAGAATACTGTGATGATGTTGCAAACTGCCCGGTAAGTCATACCACTTATTGTTAGCTGTGTGACTTTTTGCATGCACTCAAACACCAAGAAGGAAGAAACATAAAAACTTGAGCCTATGCTGTAGATACTATTTGAATAGCCTAAAATGCAAAGATATGCAAGGCCTACTAATAAAAGTCGAGGAACATGGTGAAAAAAACCGGGACTACAATTAAATGAAAGAAGACCAAACTAATGACAACAGGTAGAACAATCACCCTTAGAATGATAATCAAGATATCAAAATGATACATAGCTTCTGTTTTTTAGGATCAACCATCAACAGTAAATCCAAGTGTGCTTTTTCAAGAGGCAACTGGACTTTCTGGTTGAGAAGTGAAATCTCTTCAAAGAAAAATTAGAAAGTCCAGTTGTCTCTTGAAAAAGCACTTTTGGAACAACCATGACCTGGATGACTGAGAATCTCTATAGACATCAACAGTAATGGAACAAGCAATCATGGTAGAGCAGTCATTAAAGCCTTGGAAAAGATATTCAGATGCTGTGGTTGTCTATATTTACAAAGATCAGAATTGTGCAAGCAATGATATTCCCTGTGATGCCATGTGAAAGTGCAAGTTAGACTTTTGCTTGAAGCAGGATAGGAAGATATTGATGTTTTTAAACTTTGGTGTTGGAGAAGATTCCTGAGAACACCGTGGACAGCCAAGAAAATAAGTGGGTCATTGAACAACTGGTTCTCATTTGAGATAACAAATTATCAGGCTCAAATTATCCTACTTCAAATACATTATGTGAAGACCTAGCTCTCTAAAGAAGGCTCTTAATTCTAGGTGGAAGAAAAGAGAAGAATGTAACCAGCAAAGTAGATGGACTCGGTTATAGTGGCAATGCATGCATCATTGGAAGATCTGAAAGGAGAAGTTTAGGACAGAAAGTCTGTGTGTGTGTGTGTGTGTGTGTGTGTGTGTGTGTGATATCACTAATAATTGTCACAGATTTGAGGGCATATAAATCAATGTATGAAATACTCTGGTTAAGTGCAGCTTTTTTGACCCAGTCTGAGTTTTCTAGTCTAACTTGACATAAGCTATGTTAATTATTGACCTCTTTTCTACCTTCATAATTTTATCCCATAAGATTTTTTTTTAATTATAGTGCGACTGTTGATAAAAATTATTATTATTATGAGCATCATATAACATTGAAATAATTTTGCTTTGCATTTAGATTCCTTGTCAAAAGTTATACCCAAGTTAGTTCTGGACAGTTAGTTAGTGGCATCATGTCTTACCTGAATGACCTATCAGGACAGCATATTCAGCCCCAGCATGTGGCTGCTAGACCCACAACTCTGCATATCAACAACCCTTCCAGTTTGGTGGAGGCATATAAATTGAGAGCTTCAAGGTAGGTCAATATAAAATGTTATGAAATTTCTCAGCGTAATTTCGAACTGTTCATCTTGTCTCTCTCATTTTTATTAAGCAAGTTGCTTTCTTGGTTACTTCATTCTAACAATTTCATATCCGGCTGATTTGATCTGGGTGGGATTGGGCAGTTGCTGGTTCAAGTAATGGACCCAGCTCTAACTGACAAATGCAAGCTACTAATTGACAACTACCAGAAAGATGTATCGGGATGTAGCAACTATATGTTGCTAGAGCAGAATCACCCAGGACATTGCAGGTTTGAGAAGAGGGCAGGGCAGAAGGTAGTTAGTCTTAAATATGAATGAAATGCCAGACTGCTCAGTAATTAATCTTTTATGGAACAGTTTGAAATGGGGCCTGCAGGAGATGGAACACTGTAAAGAAAGATTTGTTTAGAATAGCATGATTTGGAAGATAGGTTATTTCAAAAATTGATCAAGGGATAGTACCCCTGAAAATAAATTTAAAAACAATACTACTGACCCAGAAAATAAGAATCAAATCCCTTTTTCATAGTCTCCTTAAAAGGGGGGGCAATGCTATCTAATAGATTCTAGCATTCCTGCTTTGTTTCAGAGCAATGGTACTGAAACTGCTTCTGTACAGTTATATCCTGGGGTCACTTTTGACCAAGGTCAAATGCAATGGCTTCCCTATTGTGAACTGAGATATAGCTAAAATTGCAAAGGGGGAAAGTATTATTATGTTCAATCAAGTTGTAGCACAAATTATATTAACATTATATCACCCTTTGACTTTGGATTTTACTGATCGAGATAAATTTGTTGTAGAAATGGCTAGTGCATATTAAGTACGTAAAAGTAAAATGTTGAGACTGTAATGTTACTGTTTTATTCTACTATGGTAAAAAAAAGTCAGAAATCAACACGTTTCTTTTCCCAACCTTATCCAACACTTCTTTCTCTTCCCTTTTGCCGCCTCCATTTCCCATTATTTTCATTTTCCTTTGTATTTTATAGCTTGATAAGCTTAATAAAATTATTAATAACAACAGCATATTACCCTGAATTCTCAGCCTATGACTAATAGAAGGAATAAATAACTTTTCATGCAGTGATGTTTGAAATGTTGTTACTATTAAAATAGGACACATTAGAAAGCAGCAACTAAAATAAATGGGGAAATAAACCAGAACAACTGTCACTGTTACTATTACTAACACTTCAAAGGCCTTGGTTTCATTCATTATGATCAACAGAGAGCAATATTAAAAATAATATTTAGGCCAAAAGAATGAGACTGTCTTCCATTTAATGATATTTGAAATATGGGGCAAAATCTGCATTGACAGCTTTGTGACAGAATGGGAATTATTATTGTTCATTTTACAGACTAGGAATAAAGGCCAAAGTTCACTAGGAGTAAAAGCTGGATTGAGTTTGGATTTTAAATCCTTGGCTTTGTAAGCCATCAGACATTTGAGGCTATGGCTATCACTGCCATATCAATTTTCAGATGTCACTAGTTGACTGTTACTTATGGCCTCCATTCCATGTATAATAAATTGTGCTTGTATTTTTCTATGATACAGGATGGTTGAGTTTGCAGCAAAAAATTTACAGGCTGAACTGAACCGTCGGAAAAGCAAAGAAGATGCTTGGAACCGGACTTCCATTGATCTAGTACGAGCATCTGAGGTCAGTAGCACCTCAGAATATGATAGATACTCTTGGATAGTTATTCATTTTTACAACACTTGAAGTCACTTCAATCTGCCATCTAACTTTTTCAGGCACACTGTCACTATGTGGTGGTCAAACTATTTACAGCGAAGCTTTCAGAAATTGGTGACCCAGCTGTTCATGCTGTCATTAACAATTTGTGTTTACTATATGCTCTATGTGGGATTATAAAGAACTCTGGAGACTTTCTACAGGTGGGTAAATAATTTCTACTTTGAGCTGAATGGTTCTGTTAGACAGAGAATGTAGCTCAGATATAAATTAATCAGACCTGGAGGGAAAAAAGTGAGCAATCTTGTGATGATATAATTTGATAATGAAGGCAAGGTTAGATTACCACAGATAAAACAAAGACACCCTTGTTGGATTTGGAGTACATCTTTGCCATACAAAGCAATTGTTTATGGAATGCAAATGAACATGTAAGTCGTATTTTGCCCTTGGGAATTGCAATGTCTACATTGAAAATATTGTGCTGAAATGACATTTTCAGCCCTCCAAAATTAAATGAAAATGGTATGAAAACTGTAAATGGTTGAATTCTTACCATTTCTTACCAAAGCTCACAGGTCAGCTGCCAAAGATGTCACAGTGATATCACTGATGCTTTGCTAAATCTAGATCTTCTTAAAATTGGGAACAGGAAGGTATTTTATGTGAGATCATACCAAGGACCTAAAAAGTTAGGTAAATGAAAATTGGAATGGATGAACATTAACCATAACAGTAATTTTATTTTTCAGAAAAGCAATGCCATTTTTGTTTAATATAGGCAATACTCAATTGCAATCTTAATTGCTTGTTTAGAATTAAAGTTCAGATCAGATTTGTTTACATAGCTAAAAGATCGGCTTTTTTATTAATTCTCCCTGTAACGATTGACAAGCACTTAGAGAAGTAGAGCTCTGACTGTTTTGAATTTTTTCATTTTTGCTTCAGGGAGGCATTTTGACAGAGGCCCACCTAATTCAAGTGAACATGCATATAAAAGAACTCTTGGCTCTTATCCGTCCTAATGCAGTAGCTCTGGTGGATTCCTTTGATTTCTGTGATTCTGTGCTTAGATCTGTGCTTGGCCGGTATGATGGTAACATATATGAAAATATGTTTGAGTGGTCAAAGAAATCACCACTAAATAAAACACAGGTAAGTAATTGCTTTTGTCAACCAGATACTAAAGGCTCTTAAGACATAGAGGAAGTCCTCACTCTATGATCATTCAGTCAGCTACAGTCTGAAGTTACAAAGGTGCTGAATAAATGGTGGTGATGACTTGTCCTCAGAGTTCCAGCCATCCAAGGACCCTCTTGGTAGCCATCTTGCATTTACAACCAGTTGCAATATCCCATGATCCCATGATCACCAACCTTCCCTGCCAGCTTCCTCAGAAAATCAATGGGGAAGCCAGCAGGGGAGGTTGCAAGTCACTGGGGTAAGTCTCCCCACTCATATAATTTCCTTCAGCTTCTCTGTCTCCACATTGGCCGCTCCCACACATCTTATCTGAGCCTCACTACTTCTCCCCTGACACTCATGCACTTCTTGCATCTTTTCCAAGCCTTGTCCCTCCTCCCTCGCACTCTTCTCCACCCAGCAGCATCCACTTGCTTGCCTGCCAGGTTGTTTGTAAGCTATCTGCGACTTGCAACTTCTTGCTGGTTTCCACCTAGACTTAGCTGTGGGAAGTTGTCTTGCCTAACAACCATGAAATTTGGTTAACCACAATAACAGGACCACAGGAATTTGCCATTTCTGAACAATGTAGTTGTATTGTTTAACACCAGAAATCCCAGTCTCAATTGTTGTTGTAAATCAAGGACTACCTGTAGCAATAAAAGGTGATCATTAACTAATATTTTAAAAATGTACAATCTAAAAATCAGTTCACAAATATAGTTTATGAACCTGCAGATGTATAAAAAATGATCATCTGCAGATTCTTAACCTATTATTTTGTCAAATTACAGAAATATACAGCATTATGATTGTGTTCTTTCCTTAGGAGGAATTCCTATTTTAACTTATTTAGATCTAATGGGGAATTAGTTTACAGAAGCCAGGACTGCCATATTGAAAATAATGGCAAAGAACAGTTAGAGAACATGTGATTATACTGATCTACAACTTCATAAACTGATTGTCCTACAATGGTCAATAAAAATTGCTGTGTTTTTTTGCTAATAATGAAAACAGCTCATTTTATATAATTCTTGAATACTTGTATAATTTTCTCTGATTATGGAGATACTTATAGCAACTAAAGCTATCTGGATAGGGAAGGTACTATTAATCTACTTTTTCTGGCAAAATACTAGAGACTGCTGGACATTTTTCTTACTCTCTTAGTAGAAATTGATTTGATGCTATTATTTTTCACTAGATATGGTGTTATTAATGGCAATTGTACATGTATAGCTGAAATCACTAAAGCAGCAGTCCAGTATGCGCTTATTGGGAAATGTATTGTCCTAGTAAGAAGCGAGGTATGGTATGTCTTTAAAATTAATGCCCTCTTTTTTTCTGCCCCCTCTAGGTCCATGAATCTTTCCACAAACACCTGAAGCCATTGCAGGCTAAACTGTGATAACATTTGTTTGGTTTTGAATGTCCTTTCTTGAAATAATATAATTTGCCCTATGAACATCTGAAGCGCTTGGCAAATCCACATAGCCATAGGGTAGTAATTGTAGTCTTTTTTTAAAAAAAAATTGAATGAATTAGAGCAAGGAAACACAGTGATAAAAAATGCAATTTTAATTATGTTGAGAAACTATCCTTTTTAATGAGTCGAAAAAGCTTTATAGATTAGTATAAAAGGGTCAATCTGTAAGCCTTTCAAGCATCTGCAGAAGCTGTGTTATCTATAGCAGATTTTTCACTACTAAGTAGTTCTAGAAAGCAGTTATTGAGTAGAAGCAACTTCTCCAGGAGCTCCTTTAAAAATGGTCTTGCACATTTTTTTTAGCATTAATGCCACCTTAAAAGGCAGTTGTTGTCAAAGCCCTCCTGCACTTAACTACTGTAAGATTTTCAGCCTTGTCAGGAACTGGGCTTCAGGGACCTTGCACAAACTTTATGTGTGTATGTATGTAACTGTTTGGTGTTTCAGGAATGGATGATTCTTTGCCTTATGGGTGCAATCTGTCCTAGTATCATTCTTAATGTTTGTGTACAATTTCACTTTCGGCATTCCAAATGGCATGCAAGCATTCTATATTACATTTCCCATAAAACTGCCTATAGCACACAGGCAAGATCTCTCTCAAGCAGTTTTTTTTTTCCTTTTTAAAAGTGTTGCCTTGTCCTCTGGGTGTTCAGGAAAATTGAATGGGAAAGTGTCAGGAGTCCTATTTGATAGAAACAATGTCATCATTTCCAACTTGCAAAGTCATTGGGTAGGAAAAACCTTTACTCCACACAAACTATAGAGTATTCCTATGTCTGGTTTTAATTGTAGACATTTTCCCCCCTGAAATGCTCAATTTTTTAAAACGGTGGAACATGGATTTTTGCCCCATATAATCATCGATGAGAAGAAGGTCCAGACTGGTAGACCCATCAACCTACACAGTCTGGCTCTCAGAAGGCTGCAGAGAATACATTACCACATTAAAGGACCTCAGCTCTAGATTACTGTTAGCAGGCTAACATTTTAGCATTGTGTAAAATTTTATTGTGTGAAATTACCATGACAAAATTGCAGCAGTTGGATTCAGCTTCAGTAATAAATCAAGACTTGGATCACAAACCAAGGAATTTCATAACATTGAAGAGTTGACATATATATCCCTGTTCAAGAGCTAAAAGTGCTCTTATACTGCAAACTTTGAGCAAGAAAAAAAATTACAACTGAAACAAAAAACTATAATTGTAATGTGCTAATATAGCTGTACTTAACATAACTGGATTTCTGTGTACAATGCTGACTGGAAATGAAAAACTGCAATAAAAGACTATTTGACATCTTGTGCAGAGCATGTGGTGTACTTAAACTAATTTTCAAACAGTAAAATATACTTTTCGGAGTGTTCGACAAGCCACCTGCTCATTCCTACTAATAGTTTTTGGTGTGTAATTTTCATGAGGTTAAAGGTCACAGGAAAAATGGCTTGTCAGAAACAACCCTGCAAAAAGGACAGGCAAAACTGAGGACATGATTTTAAAAAAATAATTTTTAAGTGGAGGAATTTTTCCCTGGGAGGGGGGAGGGAGGGTGAAAGATCCTAGAAATAGAAGTTGCAAGAAGAGAAAGCAGCATGAGGCTTTCTAGTTTGGGAAGGGTGAGAGAATGAAGCAATGGATCTTGGGCAGATATGACACACACGATGTTCACAGAAGGCAAGATGACAGTGCCACCACCAGCTTCACGTAGTGCTACGGAAATTCAGCAAACTGGGCAACATTAGAGGCTGGAAGAAAGAAAATTCTGGTTCTGTTGTCTTAGCTTTTTCTTTTGAAGGGGTTAATGGCATTTGGGATAATTTGCAAGAATCTCTGCAAAGGGCCAGGGCGCGTTAAGCGCCAGCGTCATTCTCCGCCACTCCTTGTGGGGAAAAAAAAAAGGCGTAGCAGAGGAGTGTTTTTGCCCTGGATCACCAGTCTTCGCGGGCCCTTCTGAAACCCGATCCTGCTCCAATTAAGTACAATAGCAATTTAGCAACGTTATAAATTGGGTAGCGAGAAGGATGAAACCCGCCTATGGTTCAGCAATGGCTGAAAACCGGATTATGCAGGAAGGATTCAAACTCGCAAAATTTAGGTAATCGCTTTCCTTCTCCAGAAGCGCCATGGCGCGACAACCCGACACCTCCAGTTCCGTCCATAATCCCCGGGGAGAAGCCCGGTATTTCCTGTTTTGTCAGTGCCGGTGAGCACACGGGCTGAGTTAGGCGGGAGTCAGTCAATCTGCATTTCCTAAAACGCTCTGCAGCGGTTGTGGGGGAAGAGCAAGCGAGTCCGTGGTTTGATAAGTAGACGGTCATTGGGGAGACGGGTGTTAGGTCCCTTTTCAAAGGAGAACACGGAAGACGGTGGCTGGCAAACGGGGGCGGAGGGCGAGAGGGTGTCTCAGAGGCTCTAAGCGGCTCCTTAACCCGAGGACTAGAAGATCGATTCTTCTCTTTGCGGGGAAAGTGTCTGCAGCGAGTGCTGCTCCTTGGCTTCTATGGTAACCGAGTTGTGTTCCAGTAAGTAACGGTGAAGGCTGTAGGTAGAAGGCAAGCGAGCTACAACCGTCATTAAAGTGGATCACAACGGCTTGATTCGGTACATATTGTGGCTTCCGGCATCTTGAGTGGAGACGCAACTAGGACAAACTTAAATTAGCATGAAAGGATCGAAATACACAGCCTGCTACACAACCTGCTAATCAACAATGTGGTTGGTTAGGATGCAATTGCGTGAATCCTGTTTACATTTCAATGCTTTGTGCAAATGCAGGTAATTGGATTCATTTAGTAAGCCACTAGTTAGGATGTTGGGTATGTACAGCTACAGTGAATTGTGTATAGTTCTCTCTCTCCCTGTGTGTGTGTGTGTGTGTGTGTATGTGTGTGTATATATATATATATATGTGTGTGTACATACATATACATACACACACACACACACACACACACACATATATATGGTATTCAGCTTTGTTCAGGTATTTTCCCACCTCATTATAGTTGTACTTTTAAAGTTGTAGCAACGTTTCGGCAGAATCTCTTTAAAGTTGCTACAACTTTAAAAGCACAACTATAATGAGGTGGGAAAATACCCGAACAAAGCTGAGTACCATACATGTGAAAACCCGTGAAAACTAAAAAAAAACATATATATGTGTGTGTGTATAGAGGGTTACTAGGTTACAGATAATTGTCTTGAAAAAAATCAACTTCTGGTGTTTGACACATCCTTGTAGACAATTAGGATGAGATATGCCCCAGTTATGTCTTGACTTTCTAGCCTAGCCCTTGGGATCTCTAAGTTTGGTAGCAGATTCCTGAAGAGACTTGTCTCTAGATGTATGTGAATTAAAGAGTTTTACATAATATAATTGCCCAGAGTCTCTGAAGCAACGTATAAATTTAATGAAATAATAATAGTGTAAGAGAATCTTATATTTAGGAAAAATTCCTTCTCCCAACTCCACCTTCAGAGAATGAAAACAAGGCCACCCATTTCTATCAACTCTATCTCAGTTTCAGTGGCTTGTTTTGTTCATAACTGTAGATTAACCTTCCTCAAACTGGAGTCACTAAGTGGCTGAATGATTGTAAAAACTGAGGTCCCACACACTTGGAAGACACTAATTATGAAAAATTGAGACAAACTATCAGGATGTAATAAGTATCAGAGGCAACCTGTTGATCTGATATTAGTCACATGCCATTAGAAAGAAATTGTGTAGTATATTAGCTAAGGAAACATTCTTTGCTCTGGTATGTTGGACTAGATCAAGGGTGTCAAACTCGCGGCCCATGGGCTGGATGCGTCATGTGCTGGTCCCGCCCCTGCCCATTTTAATGAAGAGGGAAAAAGTCCTAATACATCACACGATGACATTGTGATGACATGAGTTTGATACCCCTGGACTAGATGATAGGAATTTGGGGAGCCCCAAATTTTGGACCCTAGTCCAGTGATGGTGAACCTTTTTGTTGTGGTGTGCTGAAAGTGCGTGTGCGCGCTTGTGTTGGCCCCCACAATGTAATGCGCCCCCCTGCACATTCGCACGCAACATCCCCGCCCTGCCCCCTTACCTGCACTGTGCGTGTCTCCCAACTGATTTTCAGCTCGTTTGAGACCGTTTTCGCCCTCCCAGAAGCTCAAAAGAAGCCTCTGCAGCCTCGGGAGTCTGAAAACTGGGCCTTCCGGAAATACCTCTGGAGTTTGGAAGTGTATTTAAACCCTGTAATCATTTGTTCATTGCCCTTTGTGCCTCTACCCACAAGAGAACAGGGAGCCAGCATTTGCAAAAGTCAAAGCTCTTGTATTATTCACGGTGTTATACAATCACAGTGAGACCTCACCATTTACTAGGCTATAATGTGGTCAGCTGTTTAATAGATCAGGGTGTCTAACAAATACATGGGGCCTGATTCAAGATTAAAATGCTGCTATAAGGTTATAAATGTCAGCTAGGATTCTTTAAAAATCCTAATAAATTATATTTTTATTTTGCATTGTAAGTGAGAAAGGCTGGAGATACTGCTGATTAATGTATGTCTATACATGAAGAAAACTGAGAAAATCACTTGCAAGAGATACAGCAATGCAATTGGAGACCATGAAATGGTAAGAATGATTATACTGTTCAACTGATTCTGTTGGATCATAGGCATACAGGTCGTCCTTGCTTAGCAGCTACTCCTTCAGTGACTGTTCAGAATTGCAACAGCACTGAACAAATGGTACTTACAATCACTCCTCAAAGTTCTGGCTCTCAAGTACCCCCACGATCACATGATTGTGATAATGAGAACTTGGCTGCAGTGCCCTTCAGTCACATGATCACTATTTGTGACCTTTCCCCAAGCAAAGTCAATGGGGAAGCTGGCAGGAAAGGCTGCAAGTCACTGTGGCAAGTCTCTTCTGCCTAGCAGCAGCTACCCCTAAGCCCAAAATTGATCACATGCACCACTACAATTATCTGCACACCCCTTCCACTTGGCACTTGCCAGCCTGCTTGCAAGATGCCTGAATCTACCTATTGGCTTCCCTATTGACTTTGCTTGTTGGAATCTGGCAGGAAGTTGCAAGGAGATCCTTGCTGAACCATTCAGGATCCTCACTTCATGATGGCAGAGAGACTGCCTATGTTAAATGATGCAGGCACGTTGCATTTTAGAAATAAAGCATGATGTAATGCAGGGGTGTCAAACTCACATGACGGCGCCGTCATGTGATGTATTGGGACTTTTTCCCCCTTCACTAAACTGGGCGCGGACAGCATGTGACGCATCCAGCCTGTGGGCCGGAAGTTTGACAGCCCTTATGTAATGTGACTGCATCACTTAGTATCCCCAGTACAAATTACTATTGTTAAGTGAGGACTACCTGTAATGTAGAATGGCCTACTTTCAGCCAATTTAACTATCAAGAAAACAAGAACTCCAACCATTTCTCCAAGCATGTCTTTTTAGGGCAAATTCGGTAACACAAACTTTCCCAGAGGTTATTGGACTATACCATATCGTACTAGACTATGTTTGTTAGAATTGATAAGATTTCAAATTCAACAATTGTTGGTGGCTCTTTTATTGTCCATTAAGAAGGAGGTGACCTCATGTTCACAGAAAGGGTCTAATGAAGAGGTATCATACTTGGAGTTCATCCTGCATCTTCACTTCTTCATTCTAACTCTCTTCTCATAAAATCCTTACACAACCCAGACTCAAATACTTACTCAAAATCCTTACTCAACCCAATTCATGAGCAACTGAGGCTCATGAATACTTCAGTGAAATTGTTCATATCAGTTTTTTAAACCAATATAACTAATAACCACTCTGTCCTCTGTTCCCCAATGCCCTTAGAGCAGAGGTCTCCAACCTTGGCAACTTTAAGACTTGTGGACTTCAATTCCAGAATTCCTCAGCCAGCTTTGCTGGCTGAGGAATTCTGGGATTGAAGTCCACAAATCTTAAAGTTGCCAAGGTTGGAGACCTCTGCCTTAGAGTACAGTAAGTCAAGACATAAATCCAGGATGAAATCTGTGGAAAATATATTCAATAGATGAACAAACCTATCCCTGAGATTGCATCAGTTCTTAATTGTTTTGAAATCAAATTCACTGTAGTCTTGTCTTCCCTCCAGCAATATCTTGCAATCTAGCCACCATTCTCCTGTTTATCCATTGCAAGGATCACAGTATTTGTGTGGCCTAGAGTTCCACCTGAATCAAGATAATCATTTACTTTGTTAGCTATCTTGTTAACAATCGTAATGGTACATGACAATGACCTTGAGGGGCAAAGGGGAGAGAT